CACACACACACACACGTTTGTGTGGAGCTTACTTACACGCTACCATCTTTTGTATTTCTCCCAAATATTCCCAATCATGCTATCACATTCACACCTACTGATTCCTATGCCCCTCCATCTCACCTTTTTATTTTTTTTAAAAAAAATCTAAAGCATAAAATTTTGTAAAATATTTTTGAAGTAACGGGGTCACATATATGTACGTACATTAATAATTGATCAGTATCAACTATTTGATTATTCTCATAGATTTTAAGAATTATCACTTACCTTCTTGATGGTTACTATTTATGCTTCCATATGTTATTATCCTGAATAAGTCTAATTTCAAGCTTATAACTATTCCTCCGGTTATTAATATAAGACCCATTTAACTAATTTGATTAGATTAAAAAAATTAGTAAGTTAGTTAATTATAAGAAATGTGACATGTTTTTCTAAAATACCATAATCATCTTTTTTAATATCTCATCTTCCTCTTTTACTTGATTATGATAAGAACCGGAGGAGTATTATTTTTTGGAGTCATACGGCTGAAATTTAAAAGCAACGCGGGGCAAGGGCTTATTAGTCATTACAACTTTGGAATGTTCCCATTGTAGAGAACCAGAGATTTTCTTTGTCTATTTATGTTTTTTTTCCTTTGGACCAGAAATAAACACCTCAGGTTCTTCAGGAAGGTTTTAAAAAATGATTTTTTATGAAATTATTTTAATTTATGGATCATAAGGTCACTCTACCTTAGTACTTTTTTTATTTTATTATATTTTTTAGAGATTAATTTAAAAATTTTCCCAATAAAAAACAATTTTAAAGGATTCTTCAAATTTTAATGGTTGTGAGCTGTTTAAAATTTAAATATGGTCCCCCAGCAACACAACATTGTGTTGTCATTGCACTTTCTCTCTCACACGCACATCAAAGTTTTCCTCAAAGTATATTATGTTCCCAGGCACTAATATTTGTTTAGGGTTATTGGACAAATTTTTCCAAAAGCTTTCACTAAATAACGATGCTGGCTCAAAATTTTTTTGAATTTAAAGAATATTTTTATTGGAGTCAATTTTATTTGAGACATTATCAGATATTAAATATAAATATATCTTCCAATAGAAATTTAAATCTTAATTGTGAGGGAATAATCCTTCTGTTAAGATCATTAGATAACATTTAGATTTCAAGCAGACTTGAAGACGAAGCACTTGAATTATTATTGCATTGGCCTCTATTTATTTTCAGAAAATAGTTTTACTGCCTACGCATGAGGCCCTTTTAACATGATACATGTTTATACATGATTTTCAATGCATTATATGAAAATTTAAAATGAAGTAGCCAGTATTTATAGTTTATAAATATTACCACCTCCAATCCTGCATATAAGAGTTTAGACAAGGCTATGCTTAGTTTTATCCTCAACATAACACTTAGATTAATTTTTTTTTCAGATCTATAATTTTTGTCAAAAAATTTCTTATCAATTACATATATCAAAAGGGCTTCGATTAAAGATAATTTCAAATCCCCCGCCTAATAAGCAGTTTGGCAGGGATAGAATTAAATGGGGATCAACTTTGAATGCTGATTATAGTGTGGCAGAAATGTATGGGTTACTGCGAAATGAACAAGGGTGTGAGGAAGAGGTTTGGAAGAGAATCTGGAAATGGAAGGGCCCAAGAAGAGTGCAGGTGTTCTTGTGGTTGGCTGCTCATGACAGATTAATGACAGCAGAAAGGAGGGGAAAGATGATGGGAGGAAGTGATGCATGTTATAAGTGTGTGGGGAGAAGAGAAGATCTCATGCATGTGCTAAGAGATTGTGAGGTTGCAAAGAGTCAATGGGAAGAGTTGAGAGGAGACACGGTGGATTTAAACTTCTATCAACTAAATGGGAAGGCTTGGATAGAATGGAATTTAAGAAATCTGAATAGTAAATGGGCTTTGACTTTTGCTATCACTGTTTGGCAGCTTTGGAACTGGAGAAACCGCTGTATCTTTGAAGAAAAATTTGTTATACCAGAGGGGAAGAAAAGAGTAATTGAGAAGTATGCTGATGAAGTGCTAAGGGCACAACAGAGTTGTTTTAATGGGACTGACCAAAAGCAGGAAATGTATATCAGATGGAAAGAGCCTAGTGGGGGGTGGATAAAGCTCAATGTTGATGGTGCTTCAAAGGGACGGGAGAAAGTTGCAGGTTGTGGAGGATTGCTGAGGAATAGTGAAGGAAGATGGATTGGAGGATTTGCTAGAAGGTTGGGGGTATGCTCTGCAATTAAAGCAGAATTATGGGGTGTAGCAACAGGTTTAACTCTAGCGAAGGAAAAAAAAGTTCAGAAACTGGTTGTAGAGTGCGATTCGGTAGCTGTAGTACAACTACTACTACAAATATTGGAAGGTGCAGAGATGCAATCAAGCTTGTTAAAATTGATTTGTAAAGATCTGAATTGTTTTCAACAGGTACAAGTACAACATATACATAGAGAAGGCAATTTTTGTGCAGATGCCTTAGCGAATTTAAGTTTATTGATTGAAGATGATATTTGTTTCTTTGAAACTCCACCAAGGTGTGTGAGGAGTTTTTTGTACAGTGATCAGGTGGGAAATTCATACCCACGAGTTCTAAAGATTAAGTAATAAATTGGGCTGATTGCCCCGTATTTCACCCAAAGATAATTTCAATACATATGAGTAAAAAGGATATTTAAGGAAAACTAATATATACTTATTATGAATAACTAATTTAACTAATTTTTTAATATTTATAAATTAGTTATCAAGTTTTTGTATTAAGGATCGATATTAATGTTGTTGTGCTAATCAATTATGATTCATCAGAAATCAATCTTTTAATAATTCTGATGTTCTGAGGTACAAAAGTCTTAATGAAGATACCTCAATATACACATTCATCTTTTGATTATTTTTTCAAAGAATAAAACACTAGATAAAAATTTTCAACCCATAAAATCAAGTTGCTATCATTGTTAAAAAATTATTTTCATCAGCATCTCTTATTGGAATCCATATTGCCTTTTTTAATGAACACTTTTCTGAATTTATCATCGGCTTTGGGCTTTATCGGCTTATCAGGAACCCGGAAGCCCAATCAAGTGCTCCAACAGCTTCCTTTGAGGGAGGTGTTATCAGGCTCCTTGCATGCGGAACCTGCTCTGATATTTAAGTATTTCACATACACACAAATTAGACATAATTCCGTATAAGGTCATTAAATTACTCAAAAACAATGCTTCATACTATATATTTTATATTGACATTAATCAAATTATATTAAGGCGGATCTAAGGGATAGATGAGAGAAGCTAAACCTAAGGTGAAGCGAGCTGCGATAAGCGATAGTTTGAATGGGATCTTTATTTTTTGACATTTTCTTTCTACTTATCATCTCTACCCCAAGTAGTGGTGAAAATAGGCTAGGCCCTATCAAAGACCTACAACCTAAGCCACATAAAGCCTAATCTAACCTATTTAATAAATAGGTTAGACTCATATTTAGACCTATTTAAGCAAGTAGGCTGGGTCTATTTTCATAAGACTTAGCTTACAAGCCTATAGGCCTGTCCTATTTAGTTTTTTTTAATTAAATTTGTATTATTATATATTACGTAATATAAATCAATTTTATAAGTTATTTATAAATTTATAAATTTTAGTTTGATCTTATGTTTCACATCATAACATTCTTACATAAGATAAGCCCCCTTTTCATTTATCAGTCATTTACTTCTACCTCTCTTTTTATGGCAATGTAGCTCGCTTCCTCTCTCCTGATTTTTGTTGTTTGCTAAAACATAGCAATTGTTGTAAGTTTATTTTAGTAATGTCTAAATGAAATATTATAATATCAGTGGGAGGAGTTTGTCCAATTTAGATAGGAAAACTAAACGAAGTAAAATCCAATTTTACATGCCAGTTCTGTACTTGCTAAATTTTAGAAAATATATCTATTTAGTCAACAGATGATTAGTTTTTCTTATTTCTACTTGATTCAAAAATTGTTGTCACTATGCATTCTTTTCTTTTTCTTGTTAGACTCTTATATTGGAAGTGAGAATAGATTTTAGGTTTTTTAAGACACAGCATAGGTTTTAAAATAGGTTTGAAAGGTTATATATGAATTTAGGGGTATAGATTTTTAAACTTATTGAAAGGCCTACATTTTAAGTAGGTCTTTAAACAGGCTTCAGATTTTGTCAAATCCTTTAAAGGCTCAGGCTCATGCATTTAAAAAAAAAAAAGAAAGAAAAAAAAAGCCTATATGCAGGTATAAGTCCAAGCTCATGTTTTAGATATCTATTGCAGGCCTACTTAAGCTAAAATTTAGCCCAATCTAGCCTATTTCCATTCCTAACCTGGGGGAAATATATGAATTAGTTCAAATAATTAACTTGAATGAAGAATAAAAATGAGAAAGAAGTCAGATTTTTGATGAAATCAAAATCAAAGATCTGACTAGATTGAAAGAGTACAATTAGAGGGGTGTTTGGATATCCTAAAAAGTGCTTCTCAGAAGCACTTTTCCGTAAATCAAGATAAATTCATCTACATATTTACCTCGTAGACTGTAAAATTACTTCTGAAACCATAGTTTGATTTCCATCCAAACACCCCCTAGATTTGATATTCAAGAATCGGATTCTACGTGATAGTCCTCCCATCATCAGTTTATTTTAGCCAGTCAACAAGATATTAATCTCACAAATCATCAGTGATGACGATTAGACTCTTTTTTTTTTTTTTTAATGCTATCCATTTTTAAGACGGAACAGATCATTTAATCTTAACTACAGATATATTCCTTTTATTTTATAAGCTTACATAGACATTCTTGAAATTAACAGATACGCAACACAAACCTTCCTTTTGCTCTAAGAATTTTGTTTTTATGATTTTATTCATCCAACCGTTAATTAAAATTATGACAATTTCAACCAAAAAAAAGTGTTATACAAAGTAATACATTATAAAACACTAATCCTCTCAGTAATTTTTGTTCAAGGCCCTAAATTTCCTGACATGCACCGCTGAAGAAATTTTATTTTATTTTTCTTTGGTAATACACTCGAGAAATTTTATGATCTCTTGTGCTTTTTCTAATTGCCCAGCCCTTCCATACAGATCCACCATACTAGTGCTCCATCTCTGTTTCAATTCCATAGTTTCTCCCCTGGTCAAAAAAAATAAATTCCATAGTTTCTCTGCATAGCAATCAAGTGGTTCTCATCTTCTTCAACCAGACCTGCTTGAGCACATGCCGTTAACACATTTGCACATGTGATTTTGCTGGGCGTAAGACCAGCCTCTATCATCCTATTAAATTCTCTGAGTGCTGGGTTTGCAAGTCCATGCCTAGCGTAGCCACATATTATCGAATTCCATGACACCAAATTCTTCCTTGGAATTGACTCAAACACACAAAAGGCTGCATCCATATCCCCACATTTTGCATACATGTCAAGTAGTGAGGTTGATGCGATGATATCTTCTGGTGTGCCAGATTTGATGAAACTCTGATGAACTTGCTGGCCCATGAGAAGAGAGGAACAATCTGCACATGCGTTTAACACACATGAAAATGTGAAATGGTTGGGGCGACACTCTGAGTTTAACATCAGAATGAACAGTTCTATTGCTTCCAGAGATCTCATGTTTTGCACGTACCCCCTGATCATCGTTGTCCATGTCACCACATTTCTCTCCTTCATAGCATTGAATATGGATCGTGCTTTTTCAATTTGTTTGTTCCGGGTATTTTTTTCAGGCATCAAATCGGAAGTTCTTTGAGCATCAGCGAAGCTCCCAGTTTCCAGGTACCCAGAAAGTAAAATGTTCCAAGATGTAACATCTTTCGTCGGCAACTCATCGAACACTCCACCCAAAGCCTTCTCCTCTCCTAGACTCGCATATGCGGTGAGTAAAGCAGATCCAACAATCATATTCAAGTTAAGTGCCGTATGAACTGCTCGACCGTGAATCTGCTGGACCAAAACATCGAAATCAGTATTCACAACTGCTCCGAGTAATATGGATATGGTGTAGCCATCGGGTGCTACACCTACTCGTCCCATTTGCAAGAAACTATGGCATAAACCACGGATGTTTCCATTTTTTCGAAATCCAGATAACATGATATTCCACGAAACGACATTTTTAACGGGCATTTCGTCGAACAGATTCTTGGCAAGATGAAATTGATCATGCTGAATGTAGCGCTTCATCATCATGTTCCAAGGAACACAGCTCCACGACGCGGGGTTTTCGTCGAACAGCTTACGAGCTTTATCAATGTTATTGTTGCGTAGGCAAGTATCAATCTTTGAGGTAAGTTTGGCCGCTGAAAGCGTACAAAATTCGTGAGAAATTCTCAACGAGTAGAATCTGGTTAAGGCCCGCATCTCTTTCATAAGTTGGTGGAGATTGGTCCTGTGATCTACAAAGGGCCAAGGGACCAAGCCAAATCAGAAACCTAGAAGGAAGAAGACACAACCATCATGAGATTCAGGGATCACCCATGAAAGCTCCCCTAGTCTACGCAGAAGTAGGAAGCTGACACTTGATTAAGTCAGTCAGTTTGCTCGTCAAAAAAAAAAAAAAAAAGTCAGTCAGTTTTATTAATTAATTATTTAATTTAAAGGGAACAAGGATGCATCTGCTTAAGTTTCTCTCCACTTCCTTCCTCCCTACTCATCGTTTCTTTTTTTTTGAATGAAATGGGAATTTCATAAAAGAGCAAATATGTACAAGAAATTACAAGCTGGCAAAACAAAAGAAAAAAAAAAAGACTAGCCTAAACGTATTGCATTACAGATATCCTTCGCTCTAGCAGTATGATCACTAAGAGCAATCACTACATTCACCAGGCGATGAGCTTGAGTATCTTCGTTGCAAAATAACTTACGGTTTCTTGCCTCCCAAAGTTTCCAACATAAGATCCCAAAAAAGATGCACCACAAAGGATTTGTGCTTTTGGGTTTCAGATTCGTTTTTAGCCAAATATCAAAGGGACAGCTGTAAAAGCAACTTTGAATATGGGCTGGTATTATAAGATTCCAGCAGGAGATGGCAAGAGAGCAGCATCTTAAAACATGGTTGATATCTTCCGTGCCTTTGTTACAGATTTCACACGTATCCCTGTTAGTCATATGCCTTCTAAATCTTACACTATTAGTGAGCAATTTATTACTCATTGCAAGCCATAAGAAAGTTCGGACCCGTTGAGCCCCTGGCCCTACTCATCGTTTCTTTCCCAAAGGAGAAGGAAATATATGAATTTATTGAAATAATTAACTTGAATGAAAAAAAAAAGAAAAGAAATAAGATTTTGGATGAAATCAAAATCAAGGATCTAAATAGATTAAAAAAATAAGATTAGATTTTATATTAAAAAATCCAATTCTATTTATAGCCCTCCAATCAAATTAAACTAACCAAATCAATTTATTTTAGCCCGTCAATAAGATATTAATCTCACCAATTATCAATACAAATGACAATTAGATTCCTTTTTTTTTTTTAAATGCTATCTATTTTTAAGATAGAAGAGATCATTTAACCTTAAATACATATATATTCCTTCTGTTTTTTTCAATATTATAGGAAAATTCTAAAACTAATAGATACGTGATACAAACTTAGATAATATAATTTTTGGTCTTTTAAATTTGTCAATTTACTCTCATTTTGATTTTGGTATATCAAGTTTCAAATCATAAGTTTTAATCCCTCAAATTTTTTTTATTTAAAATATTGATTCATATAATTTAACAAAGTCTTGAACTATTTTAGTCCTTAAGAGACCAAAATCTATAATTTAAAACTTCATGGATTAAAACCCATAATTTGAAACTTGAGGGATTAAAACCAAAATAAAACCACTTGAGAGAGATCAAAGATTATATTAACTCTACAAACTTCTTTTTTGCTCTCTGAATTGTATTTTTCATCCAACCGTTTATAAGAAAATATTATATGAATTAGCTAATATTGTTCAAGGCAAGTGAAAAGCTTATGATTACTCTATTGCGCAAACTTGATAAACTTAGTGAAGTTACAAAGTGGTATGGTAAAAACTTTCAACAAAAAAGTTATATAAAAAGTAAGAAATTATAAAACACTAATTCTTTCGTTAATTTTTGTTCAAGGCCCAAAACTTCTTGACATGCACCGCTTAAGGAATTTTATATAATAAAACCAGACCTTCATTACTAGGTTGAATTTACAGCAAGGTGGAACTCAACCCAACTAAATGCCTTCTGCTTTTGAATTTGTCTCTTTCTCATCTTCTCCCTCAATTCATTCACACTGCTCCATCTTCCCTTCTCACCTTGTATCTTAGAAAGCAATGTGTAAGATGCAGAATGATTCTTCTGCAACTCGCGCATCTTCTGTGCAGCAAACTCTCCAAGTTCAACATTTGAATGCAGCACACAGGCTGCCAGTAATGCACTCCACAACACCACATCAGGCTCAAATGGCATGTTCTTGATCATCTCTTGTGCTTTTTGTAATTGCCCAGCTCTTCCATACAGATCCACCATACAAGTGTAGTGCTCCATCTCTGTTTGAATTCCATAGTTTCTCTGCATAGCAATGAAGTGCTTCTCACCTTCTTCAAGTAGGCCTGCATGTACACAAGCTGATAACACATTTACATATGTGATTTTATTAGGCGTAAGACCAGTCTCAATCAACCTATTAAATTCTTTGAGTGCTTGGTTTGCGAGTCCGTGCCTGGCATAGCCCCCTATTATCGAATTCCATGACGCCAAATTCTTCCTTGGAATGGACTCAAACACACAAAATGCTGCATCCGTATCCCCACATTTTGCATACATGTCAACTAGCGAGGTTGATATGACGATATCTTCAGGTATGCCAGATTTGATGAAATTTTGATGAACTTGCTGGCCCATGAGAAGATAGGAACAATCTGCACATGCGTCTAACACACTTGAAAATGTGAAATGATTGGGGCGAGACTCTGACTTTAACATCAAAATGAACAGCTCTAATGCTTCCATAGCTCTCATGTTTTGGACATACCCACTGATCATCGTTGTCCATGTCACCACATTTCTCTCTTTCATTGCATTGAATATGGATCGTGCTTTATCAATTTGTTTGTTCCGGATATACCCATTTACCAAAGTAGTCCAAGAAATAATATCTTTTTCAGGCATCAAATCGAAAGTTCTTTGAGCATCAGCGAAGCTCCCAATTTCCATGTACCCAGAAACTATAGCGTTCCAGGATGTAACATCTTTCGTCAATAATTCATCGAACACTCCACCCAAAGCATTCTTCTCTCCTAGACTTGCATATGCAGTGATTAGAGCAGATCCAACAATTATATCCAAGTTCAGTGCCGTATGAACCGCTCGAGCGTGAATCTGGTGGGCCAAAACATTGAAATCAGTATTCACAACTGCTGTGAGTAATGTGGATATGGTATAGTTATTGGGTGCTACGCTGACTCGTCCCATTTGTAAGAAACTTTTGCACAAACCACGAATGTTTCCAGTTCTCTGATATCCAGATAACATAATATTCCACGAAACAACATCTTTAACAGGCATTTCGTCGAACAGATTCTTGGCGAGATGAAATTGGCCGTGCTGAATGTAGCTGCTCATCATCATATTCCAAGAAACACAGCTCCGTAACGCGGGGTTTTCGTCGAACAGCTTACGAGCTTTATCAATGTTATTGTTACGTAGGCAAGTATCAATCTTTGAGGTAATTTCAGCCGCCGAAACCATACAAACATCGGAAGAAATTCTCGACGAGAAGAATCTGGTTAAGGCCCGCATCTCTTTCATAAGTTGGTGAAGATTGGTCCTTTGATCTACGAAGGGAAGGTAGCAAGCCGAATCAAAAACCCATGAGCAAGAAGACACAGCCATCCAATTCATGGGTCACCCGTGAAAGCTCGAGTAGTCTCCTCCTCCCGCCATCGGAAGCACTGCATCATAGTTGCCTGGAATATGAAGAGTGAGTGCAAAGCCAGCCATCCATGTGCTCGGAAAATGAAGACGGGAAACGAAGGAAGAGAGTGAAGGTGGAAATATGGAATTTAAAAATGGTCAATGACAGGGTGAGGGTGGTTTTCAGAACAATCACTGAGGAAAACGAAGAACATGTATTTGGCGGGTAGATGAAATGCATTTCTGTTGGGATCAGTTTTCATAATTGATATTCATTGAATTTTTTTCAAAATACAATTTCCTTTGTTTCTTGCTTTAAAATCCCTCCCTCCCATTAAACCAAAAACCGCGTTAATAACTGAGTGCAAATTCGTCATCTCGGATGATTCCCGTCGCCGACTGTTTCCAGAGCTTCGCCGGGAACTTCATCTTTTCAGGTCCTACGACTCTGTTATGCTGCGATTAATGGAATTTAGCTTCGAGAATTCCATTTATCTACCTTGATATTAAAAAAATATTCACAATGATCCTTCAATTTCATGGAGGAAAAACATTATTACTATCATTATAATTTTTGTTATAAAAAATTATTTTGGAGAGATTTATACTGAAAGTTAAGAAGTTTATCAAATTTACGAATCACTTAACATATATTTACTAACCGAACTACACGCAATTCATATTAACAATTAAAAAAATATTCAACACTATTTTATCCCACGTGTTTTATTCCATTTACAAAAGCTGTTGGATAGAAACGAGGCCGAGATGGGAGAATACATATTCCCTCAAATTGTTCTCTAACAATGGATAAGTCCCAAGGGGGGATAAAACCTTAAGATTCTTGATAACAGAACAACGCTGAAATATACATCAGTAAACACGACTCGTATATTCCAAAGCTTCAACGGTCAATTGGCATTGTCATATCTAGATTATGGGCCAAAGAAAAGCCTACTCTTTTTTAATGAACATTTTTCTAAATTCATCGTTGGACTTGGGCGTTTCATCCTCTTCAGTCTTCGGCTTATTGGAAGTCCAGCCAAGTGCTCTCACATTTCTGGGCACCGCAAAAGTGTTTTTCCCTTTGATCTGGATGTTATCGCCTCCAGGCTTTCTGTTTGCAGACTTGGTTTCCTTTACAGCTTCCTTTGAAGCATCATCAGACTCTTTGGCTGCAGAACCTGCTTGATCAGATCGATCAGTGCCACGTCCTACATAATTGATTTCAAGTGATAGGAAGATTATGTTATAAGAACATAAGCACACAGTAAATAGAGGGCAGACATTAACACTGAATATAGAGAGCAAACAAGTAAAGGAGCATTATTAGAACCGTCCATGATGGATGAAAGAGCACAATTATACCCCAGGAATGTAGAGTTATAAGCTTGATGATGTGTATGTCAAAGCACTTAATTCAAACTAATTGCAGCATTAAAATCTTACTACCGATTTACCATAGAAGACTCGAGTGTTATGGTAATTAATATACTACCTCCGATCCTAATTATAATAGCCAATTGACTAATTTAAAGAGATTAAAGAAGTAAGTTAAGTTAGTTATTTATCCTAAATAGGTGTTGTCTTTCCTAAAATATCTTTGCTAATCAAATATTTTGACTAGAATTATCATTGTTAGAAGGGCTTCTTTGAAGAAAAAAAAAGTATAAATATGAGAGATAAAGTGGATTGAGGTCTTATATTTAGGACTAAAATAAAAATCAAATAAGGTTTTATATTGAGGACCGGAGGTAGTATTAGAGAAGGGCAGTTCCATGCCTGTATCACTGAGATCAATAGAAGGCCAACAAAGTTGGAAGGACAAGGTACGTGTGAGAATGTACAGGAGAAATGTCCAAATCTTGACCAAATAAGTTCACGCCACTTACTTTGTTCTTTCAAGTTTCTCTGACCAGAAGATTCCTTTCTGCCTCGACTTGGATCAGACCGAGCAATACTCAGCTTCTTCCCAAGTAACATTTTCTTGTTCTTAGCTACTGCAGCAGCAAGATGCTCTTCATCCAAAAAGTCCACATAGGCCAGGCCCTTCGTCAATATGTTCAAACATTTCAGCTTAAATACAGACACTGAAGGAAGGTAAAGCACTCACTGCCACAATGTATAAAGATCTGTCGCTCAGGCACATAACCATTATGGAGCACAATTTATGCTCAATTTTACTATGCATGGTGGTATATACCCCTACTTAGCTCAGCCAGTGATTACTGTCTCTATGTACTTTACTAGTTATAGACATGTTTTCCAACGTGTTGCACAGAATTTGATGTGAATCTTACTATTCATGATTTATAAATATTGCAGTTTACTATAAATTTTATATTCGTTTGTTGATAGTTCAAGAGGAAGGCAATATGACTCATGCAAGGTTTGTTGATTTCACTTCAAGGTTTAGAAATTAAGCTATCAACCATCTGATTGCCACTCCACAAGCTTGTATTATTATTAGAAGAATGGCCTGCATCTATTAGGGCTGCAAGAAAATAGAGTACACTATTAATTTTACCCTTGATTTTCCAGTGAACTTGTCATGCAGAATACGAATGGCAACAATTCCACCAACATCACTGAAGAAATTACGGATATGATCATAATTTGCCTGCAGTAGAACAACTCATTAGTCTTTCTCAAACAATAACACACAGAAATGGAGGAGGAGGGAGGAGACTTATATCTTACCGTAAGGTTCAAGTTTGACATAAAGACAGTGCACTGATCTGAGAAGGCCCTGCTTTTATCAGAGGTAGACTGTTGTTTAGTTGCATCTTCAGATTTGTTAATCTGCTCATTGGCCTCTCCCACTTTTGTCGCCTGAGGAAAGTTCTCTTGACCTTTATTTTCTTCAGGAACTTTCTTTGGGTTCTTACCAACTTCTTTCCGTCGCTTAGCTGGAGACTGCCCATCATTTATGTCAGACTCCAACTTTCTCTTGTCACGAACATTTCTTTTAGGATGATGTTCTTTATCCTCTGTCGACTTCAATTCTTGCTGGATCCTATATAGTTGTAACTCTTCCAGACGTGGGCTAACCTAGAGAAAGATCGTCCCCACCAAGAAGGTTAGCACAACCCCAAAAATTAACAGCTATAAATCCCCCCCCCCCCCAAGTAGGATGCCAGTCTACCAAATGCCTCACAGAATATTCCTTACATTTCACCTAATTCCATGAATTTTTCATGTTTTTAGTAGGTAATTATGTATCTACTTTTTTTATCTTTTGGGCGACAATTATGTCTCTACTTTTGCTTCAACTATGAGTAATAACTTCACAAAGCCCTTAAATTTGTACACAATTTCTCCCTTTCATTTTTGGCATGTCCAAACTTACTTTTTCTGGTAAAAGTGATAACATGAAGAGGATGGCAACGTGATCTCATTACCAATACATAATCGTCAAATAGTCATTCAATAAATATATTCAACCTGGCAGAAAGGAATTTCAAACCAACAAAGAGACAATGCCAGATTTCCAATTATAAGACTGTAGCTTAAGATTTAAGAATGTACCTTTTGTAAGGCATGGTCATAATCCTCCAAAGTGCCAAACTCCCTCTCAAAACGTAACCATGAATGGCATATGTCCTGAATTATTCTGTTTTTTTTAGGAAGGGAAGGTATCAACTAATCCAAACAGTACTACATAACAGGAAATCCCCTAAATAATTTCTGAAAGGAACATGAAATGAGAAGCACAAATCTTTCATAATTCAAATCCATAAGACCAAAAAAGTGGAAGAAAAATATTAATAATTCGAAACGTTTACTGAATTTATTAATTGAAATTTAAATGGCAATTTGCTGGGCAAAACACACACACACACATTATACCTCTGAACCAGACCCAGGAAACCTCTTGCTGTAGCATCTCTTGTATATGGACCTAGCTTCATTTATGTGACCATGTTCAATTTCCATTGCTATATATCCTTTCCATGCCTCCAACATTGAACCACTGCACAAACCAAAAGAAATTGACAGAAAAGCACAACTTAACCACTGCCCAAACAAAGGAAGAGGAAGAATACAAAAAATGTCAAGGCAAATGGTTTATATAAATATGATGATATCAAACCAGATTTTGACAAGACTCTCCCAGACTCCACGAGCTGCAGTTATATCTTTTCCGAGTTTAGCTTCTAAATGGGCCCAATAAGCATGTAAACGCACCAAGCCCTCCGTATTCTTTAATTGTGGTGACAGGTAATCTGAGGCATCCTGCAAGTGATATATAGTTCAGATCCAGGCATGCATGAAAATAATATTCCCTTTCCATAATTCCTGGGGTGTGGGGGGATTAGATAACTCACAAAAGTATTAGCTTATTAGTTGGCAGAAAATCGTATTCTCAATTGCTATAGAAATGCAACTCCCTATTCTGATCCTACATTCTCCTTTCTCTCTTCTCCTATCCCCACTCCCTATTCTGTAAGACCTCTACAATATTGTATCACTCTAGGTCTATACCATGACCATTGAGCTCCCAAACAAGACATAGTCATGTTCAAACCATGAGGTATAGCTCCAATCCATTATTCCTTGGCTATAAGAATACAGCCAGATCATGTCCATTATTGTAATTATGGGTCTGAATAGAAAATATATCAAAAAGGAACAGGAAAAGTAACAAACCTGAAACGTCTGCCTTATAATTTGATATTCCAGAAGGCCCTCTTCACCAGCAGATGCCATTCTCCGCCTTAAGCCATCTACTCGAGTGAGAAATAAATCAAGATACTGAAACAAGAAAGTACAATAAAAAGGTTAAGCACTCACATCAAGAGGAACTCCGAAATTAAGACCAAAAGGGTTATAAAACCCTGATTGCATTATAGGATATAATGAGGAAGACAGATTTTTTTTTTTTTTTTGGGTTTTGGGGGGGGGGTTGAATATTGTTCGTACCTCATCAAGGGTTGAAAAGGTACATTGCAGGGATTCCTCAAAGACCTGAAATTAATGATAAATTTTCCTCAAACAGAAAAATATGAAAAATAATTTCTTTATTTTTAAAAGCATTTACATTAAAACACTCGAACAATTAATCATCTAATGTGAAAAGAGAGAACGACTAAACACTCAAGACTGCAAGAACTTGCTTGTCTTTGATTCCAAGACCAAACTGACACAACTGATCCATTAATCAACCTCATCGAGATTTTCTTCCAACATCTATTGATTGAATATTTGAAAACTTTAATCTCTACCCCAAAAGAAAATAATGCTCTGATAGCAAGGTCCCATACTTACAGCTGCTATCTCTTTTTCAGAAGCATGGCCACGCTCCAATGAAAGCAAGTATCGAACCCAAAGTTCTCCAACCCATGGACAGTTCTTAGCGGCTCTGGTGTAAACATTGGTTACGACATTGCCAACCTGGAGAAAGGAGGAATAAGAATAAAACACGGATTAATAGATGGGACTGAGAGTTACGGCATTCATGAAAAAGAAGAACAAATTAGAGGTAAAACCTTTAAAGTTTTGTCCAAGTACCGAGTATAATCAAGCCAGAGGTCAGATGCTATCGGCAAGTCTGTAACAGCTCGCTCATATAAAACTAAGACTCTGGCTGGTGTTCCAGAAGATTGTTCAAATTTCACGTAATTCTGTAGTACAATAAAAATGTGAATAAAAGGAGTCACAGATGATAAAGAACAACAACTAAACTAACCCCAGCATTCAGGCTATGCTATGTACCATGTAGTGTTGTAACTTTTCTGACTCAGAAGTGTGGCTAGCAATATGTTCTTCAAGATGAGCACGGGCATTGTACATATCCAATGCCTTCTGGTATGAAGAGACAACATGAGGATAAATCTCAGCTATGTCGCTAGACTCCACATCATGAAGCTTACCCTGTTCAACCTCCCAAGCCTTATAGGTTATCAATGTTGAACTCATACCAGAAAGGGGAATGGACAACTGCCGGTGGAATAAACTTCGGATTCTCTGGACTTGTTTATCTTTTTCCTGCAATGGAAGATGTGACTCCAAGATGTTAAGATAAAGCAGTCTAGAATTCCACAAAATGCTTGAACATGCTGTATTTAACCCAACACATTAATTTTATTTTGGTGATTGCCCAGAAATATTCTCCGAATACCACAATGAACAAGGATCAGACAACTACAAGTGTGGATGTGAGCATGCATGTGACATGGAGTATATGTGCTCATCCAATTCCAATAGTAGATCTATGTGAAGATAGGTGCAAAAGTGTTCTGTGTACTTATCTGAATTAGTACAACTTAAATAGAGAGAACCAAGCCAATAAGGAGGAGTAAATGTTCCACCGATCAGAATGGGAAGGAAATAGTTGGAAATATTAATCTGACACAATTTGTACACAATTCTAATTAGCGTTAATAAAAACCTAGCTGATTAACTATAAAAGGAAATAAACATCCTGATGAATTAATGATTCAGTAGGGATTCAGCACTAAATCAAGAATTCCACACCTGCTAGTCTTATCATCTTTCATAGCCTTTCTTTTAAAATTCGTCATTAAGGAATGACATCAGCAAAAGCCCTCGAAGAGGCATTACTCCAAGTCTCTAATAAATGGGCCAGAAGGGTTCTATATTTATTTTTAAAAAATAATAATAAAAAAAGTGAGAGAGTAGAACACTGCTTTCATCTATAAACCTCTTATATCTCTAACTTATCTCATTCTCAAGCTCTAAATCCTTTCCAAGGCTTTCCACCTCCAGCCTAATTCCTATCACAAATCTATAGAACAGGCAATAGTTTGAATCTCCATCCTCGAAACATCGCATCCTAGATTTTAGACTCCAGCTAAATTCCTAGCTAAGCATAAACATTTCAAAATATATACCCTCCAGCCTGAGTTCCAATTTGTCCACAGAATCCATCTAAGGATATTCTCCTTTATAACAAAACTTTACACGCAATTGTTTACATTCAAATGAAAGTCATATTGCAAAGGATGGTTACATTACCAACCAAAATATTCAGCATCCAATCGTCCTTAAGCAGATAATGTTGATAGGAAAAACTTAAAAAGCTCAGAAACTAAATAATAAATCCTTTAAAATTGGCCTGTAAAATTTCTAAAAAGGCCACCTAAAATTCTCATGTTGAATAGCACCGTAAAGATAGACTTAGTTCTTAATACAAGTAAGGGTAATGTTTCAACCTCTATGTCAGTCTCATCAATGGTAAGAAGTATAGCCTGCTCAAATTCCCGATATGCCTCCCATATCTTATTGCCTTCGGCAACATGCAAACCAGCTGCAGTAAGAGCACGCTCAAACAAGTCCCTTGCCTTGGTTATACCAGCAGGTGTACATTGCTGCACCATCGGATCAAACTCTTGGACGAAATTAATGTAATCACACCATAAAGAGACAGACTGCAGTAAAGAATAACCTATTGCGTTAAATTTTGAAGTAAATATCGTATAATAAGTATCAAGGAAAAATGCATGAGGCACAATTGGTACCAAGACTCTATAAGTATTTTTTTTCCTTTTAAAAGGTAGCAGTTTATAACAGAAGTTCACTAATTCAGCTTTATATTAGGTATTCTAACCAAATATTTTAAGATACTAGTTCCAGCATCTATGCTCTGTATAATTAATGTTAAGTGTACGCGTGATCATCATGTCAAAATAAGAAAACCTACTCCTTTCCCAGCTTACCGATACAAACAAAACTGGCTATGGTGCTAATAAAGGAACAATAAAAAGACTAAACAGGCATTGCTCGTTCCACGAAATGAGGATGGAAAGTAATTCTTCTAGAACACCATAACATTACATATCAAGCATGCCAACAAAAGAGAAAAACAAAAGTAAATCCTCAAACAAAAATTACATTAAGAATCTATTAAAATATGTAACCAACCAGATATTCGGACACCCCACGGTCATAAAGCTTCAGAATTGTAGAGTAAGCCTCAGGTCTGCATGGCGCAAAAAATTAGCCCATAAACATATTATTTTGGTAGCATGAAGAGTGTATGCTGAATAAAAACTCAGAGTACAACAGATCCCACTCTCGCACAACAAAATCATAATTCTGACAACCACCAAGAAAGAAAACTTAGATTCGTAAAGAGTATACCCAGTATTGAGAGAAGCCTCATCTTTGGTCCATTCCCGCCACATTTGAGGGCTCAATGGAAACAGTTCATTCATAGCTTCCCTTGCCTTTCTCAGCTTTTCGATGTCCCCCATTTTCCTCAGTACTTTTATATACTGAAAAGAATCATCGCCGACCCCAGGCAACATAAACAAACTACATAAATGCTTTAAAACAAAAAGATTTTCTGTTTATAAAAAAATTAGAATAACAAGACTCGAAAAGCATTACAAAAATCAGTATAAAACAAGGTTAAAAACTATGCATCCAGCCAGAGGAAGACGAGAAGAGAGGAAAATCAAATTTTGTAACTTTCAAACTAAGGCCGTCCGAAGCTGAAAACAAGATATCACGTATACAAAGGCAGTCTACCTCAAACTTCCAATTATTTTCTCCAGCTAATATATATAAATTACCCAGCACAAAAATTAAAACGCCAATATCTCCCGAGCAATCAATATTCATGGCAACTGAACAACACAAGTTTTTATCTGCGGACAACAGTTTTAGCCTCTGCTGCAGATGAATCATTGCTCCAATGATGGTAAAACACAAGAACAAATCTTTTCGTGGCAGCAACGGCCACGAAATGTCATAACGGTTAAGAACACGGAAATGAAAAACAAAAGCAAAATGTAATCCAGCTTTGGATTTTTCCCTTTCATATCATATCATTTGTTCTCAGGTGCCAAATAGAATGTATTATAAGCATGAAAAGGAGAGTTTACTTGCGCATGAGCATCATAGTTGGAGGGGTTAGCAGCAAGCTCGGCCTCGAGGGTCTGGAGTTGAAGGTTCTGCTGAGCTTCGTCATCGGAATCAGACTGAGAATCAGAGGAGTTAGCATCAGAATCAGAATCCGAACCATCGGGGTCTTCAGCTGCATCACGCATGGGTTCGTCTTCATTGTTGTTTTTCTCTTCGTCCACAGCAGCAGCATTAGGAGCGGGCGCTTCGGAAGTTTCCGGCGTTATGGTTAGGGTTTCGTCCATGGATATGGAAGGAAGGGACTCCGCTAGGGGACTTGGAGTGTGAGCGAGCAGCGCTTGTGCTTGTGCTTGTGCTTGTGCTGGCGCTTGTGCTGGCTTTCGTGCCTGAGGAAGGTTAACGACTGTGAAGCTCCGTGGCAATTGAAATCGGATCGGGTAAACGGGCGGCAATCGTCTGATAGGAATTATTTTTAGTACTTTCCAGAAAAATCGTTTTCTATTATATTTCTATAATTATCAGCTCACATTTTTATTTATTTTTAGTATTATGGTAAGGTAAATAAGCAAAAGCATTTTTAAAATATTATATTTTTTTAGTAATATTTTTCTTGTGTAACTTATCCACATGATGAAACGAAAGCTATAATGAACAGTGAAAGTTAAAATCAATCCTTTGTTACGTAAGGAAACAAGGTTCCAATTCCGTCAGAAAAAGTATTATTTTTTAGGAAAACCATATTGAAGGTACCTATACTTTCTCTCAATTTTTAATTTGGTACCTATGTGTTTTTTTCCCTTTAATTAAACATTTAATTTTATTTTTTTAACAACATTAGTACTTATAACTTTGTTCTATTGATATTTTTAGTCTCTACATAAGGATTAATGATGTTAATAGAGGAAAAATAAAGATTTAGTTAAGAACAAAAAAAACACATAGGTACCAAATTAAAAATTAAAAAAAAGTATAGGTACCTCCAATATGGTTTTCCCTTATTTTTTTATGCCCCACAATAATAAAAAAATTTCTGTGCTTATAAAAAAAAGTTTCAAAATCAAGCACAAGATAAAAATAGAAGCCTTGACTGCCTTCCCTGAAGATCCTTCTTCTTCTAGGGTGTAATCACTTAGGTACTGTGATCCCTCATCAACTCATCTTCAAGAAACAGGGCAATCCAAATCTGCATTCCAAGGCAACTTGACTGGATCGAATACTTGTCTAATACTACCTTCAGTTCTTAATGTAAGACTTAATATAAAATTTTATTTGACTTCTATTTTAATTCAAATATAAGACCTCAATCTATTTTGTTTCTCATGTTTATGTATTTTTCTAAGGTAATTCTTCTAATAATAATAATTCTAACCAATACACTTGATTAGCAAAGATATTTAGAAAAGACAATACATATTTATTACAAATAATTAGGTTAACTTATTTCTTTAATCTCCTCAAATTACTCAACTAGTTTTTATAATTAGGACAGAAGATGAACGTGATGATTTTATCCTATTAATACGGTTCAATTCAAGTTTAGATATCTATATTTGTCATCTTTCTTCGGCCATGGAATGAGCATTATTTCAGGTTCTTAACACCAACAGGTTATCATGATTTTCACAGGCTTTCTCTCATTGTAAACTGTTTTGGTACAAATGACAGACTGTCTATTCAAAAGAACAATGGGCAAAGGAAATGGGATTATACAAATATAATGGAGTTAGAACCACAAGTATATTTCTTCTGTATTTCAGGAAGGACCAAAAGTGTAATTCTTCATACAGGTGGTATTAAGTTCTTTGACAACTGATCCGTCCCCACTAATTTGGCTGCCTTTGCTTTTGAGTAGCGATTGGTCAGTGAATATCCTAGTTTCTCAGATACTTGGAAACCTTTCGCTCGCGCGCGCGCGTGTGAATGTATATAAATTGAGTAAACACACTAAAAAAGTAGTTTCGGAAAGATATTAGAAAAGAAGCTTAAGGATCTTATAAATGGGCTTCCAAGTACTTGAGAAATTAAATCAGTATGAAGCAAACACTACCTAAGATTTAAAGCCATAGCAGAAAACTTCAGTTTAGTACGAGCTCTTTAAACTTTTGAATGCAAGCCAGTGCTTTCTGGAACTCATTTTCTTCCAATGCAGTACTGAGCCGACAGTAGCCAGGGATTCCAGTCCACGAACTACTGTTGATGCATAAGCCAGTGGTTTTGAGAATGGCATTTCTAATATTAGTGTCATCCAACTTAATTTCAGCAGGACCATTTCCTGAAGCATCAATCTTAATTGTCTTGTTGAGATAAGCTGAGGGCGTGGCCACAATAGAAACGCCAGCACTGGATTCAAGCACATCCCAGCCATTTCTCTCAAGTACCTATGAAAGTAAAGAAAAGAATATCAACAAACAATTTTAAAACACTGATAATCTACGCTTTTCGCTCTTTCACGACTGCAATTCATTATAGTTATTATCTCATGCTAATATCAGGATAGGGTTGTAGTTTATTAGATAGATTTAGCTTGCTAAATAAACTGAGGTTTCATTCAGAACTGATAGATCAAGATGATAAGTTAGTATTATCTGTTTTGAGAAATCTAGCTAACTTAGCACTACGTCAAAAAAATAAATATTTAGCAGAGAAAAGATACCTCTTTCAAGATCTTGGATCTACTTTTCAATGTCTTCGAGTGTTCAGCAGTAGCATCTGACATGTCCGTTGCTTTCTGATTTCCAAGACCCAGCAACTTCTTTATCGCATATCTAATAGTACCATGAGGTTTGCTTAATCCTGGAAAGCTATTAAATGCGTCAACCAAAAATTGCTGGTTTAGAATCAGGAACCCAAATCTGAGAGCACTGTCAAGCGTCTTCAGAGACAATCCTCCAAAAAGAGAGACGCAAAATGATGGTTTGCACGAAGAGCTCAGCTTTGACAAACATGGCTCCAAATTCCAGCCACCCCAGCCACCACAGTCAAATTCTAAACCTGAGAATGAAGTGTCAAGAATAACTCTTGCCCCAAATTTAGCACAAGTGCTTAAAATCTCTTCAATTTCACTGTTGCTGTATACTAAGCCAGTTGGATTGATTGTTGGTCCAGAAATACACACCCATGGTTTGTTTGCAGTCTCGAGGACACTGGAGAGTGTATCTTGCGTCAGCTTAAAACCTACACTGAGATTGGTAGGGATCATCTCTATTTTAGCTTTCAAGAATCTGGCAGTTGAAACAAAGTTCCCATTTGATCCAGCAGGAAAACAAAGAGTGCCGCCTTCTTTGATGCAGCACAGAACTAGTTTATTAAAAAGAGCTCTTGAATTGTCTGCATATATAAAGTCTGTGTTGCTATCTATTGGGAAACCGTAGCTCTTCTTGACAAACTGTTTGATGCTAGGTGTGACATCAGTTTCAGATTCAGCCATGTTTTGCCTTGCAAAACTTTCGAAAATAGCAGCCTTGACTGGAGATGGTGTAGGCAAGAAGCTTAAGTCAGCATCCATGTGGATTATAGATCCATTCTCTACCTCATTAATTGACAGCTCAGCATTATTCAGAACAGATAAGGCTGAACCAGCAAATCCTATCATATCAACTGATTTGACCTCTTCACAGTTTCTCTGAATGACAGAAATAGAAATGATCAGGGAATCTTATTGGCCATTAATACTTTCTTAACAAGTAATGACTGCATTGATCTCATATATGGATTCAAAGAAAAAACTAGGTCAATATCAATCTATGACGGCCCATGTCTTGCTTGCTCCCCTCCCCTCCCTTTTTTCCCGTGGCAATAAGCAATAAGGACAAACTAACAATTGAACCGCCAATGCACCCACAACTATAAGATCTAGGTGACATATTCTCATATAAATTTTCAACCTTGCAAGTTCCCTAGAAGCTCTTGGGAAAAGAGTTAGGGATCAGAGCTCAAACGCGGTCAGGCTAAACATCAGGTATGAAATTGAGTCATTGACTACGAATCAATGCATGCCTTACGCTGAAAATACTATGTCGTTTTCTAAAATGCCATTTATAATGTATTTGACAAATGTAGATGGTTCAAAAAATGGGTATTCCTACTTCCCTCCAACTCAAATTGGTAAAAGGATTGATAACATGAAACCCGCCTTTGCTCTCTTGGCAACAAAATGTTAAATAGTCATCCAGCTGGTAATCAAAAGCCACATTGACAAAAGTCCTCGATTGGATAGAGAAAAGAAGGATGTAATGATTTCTTTCAGTAGAAAAGTTAGTTCCTGAGTCAAAACTCATCACATCATCTTTCTCCTTCGTCATTTGGTGGCCCAAATATTCCACAGTTAGGGACTGAGGGAAAACAATAGAAACCACATTCTGCTGGAGACTTATAATTGTTAACTAAAAACACAACAGAAGCAACAAACCTGACAATGTGGATGTCGGTCCAAAAGCTGGAAAGCAGTGAGCTCATGAAATATACAACCATAATATTGTTGACTAATCAATGAAGTACTGCCTTCCAATAGTTCTACAGTTTTAGATAAAGCATTAAAGAGGGATTCTTCTTCTGAAATGACAAAAGCAACTTCTAAATCTGGATAAACCTGGACAAATGGAAATTGGGAAATTGTGAAAACCAGGAGAAGGAAAAGACCGCCAGTAAAGGATATATCAGTCGGGCTGTTAACATGGAATTTCACCTTATTTTTCACCAATCCACATATAATTGCAACGTGAGAAGGAAGGCAAGTTTCTGCAACGTACTTCAGGACCCCGCTGGATGTTGGGAGACTGGATAGCTCAAAGTGATCAGATATATCTATGAATAGACGAGATCCAATATCTTGTGTTGTATGTAAAAGGTGCACAAAAGCAGAACTAGTAACAGCCTCGAAATGAGCGATCCCAGTCACAACCACTTGTGGCTTCAACCTCTTAATCAATTCTATCATTAAGTCTGACTGCCTAGGAGCTTCAATCACCATAAGTGTATCCTCCGAGGAATCATAAGTTTCTGTACCCTGTAACAATTAACAAATACAACATTGATCTCATATTAGTTCACACCAAGGTCAAATAACAACATACTTGCATTTATTTGACATAAAATACAATTATGGCATGTTATAAAGAAGAGAATATGGGATTTTTAAAAACATGAGAGAACAAAAGTGCATTTCTCTTCTATTCCATACCTTGACAGCTAAAGATGTCAGCCATTGCCTAGGTAGGTGTCGAGTGAGATGTTCATCAACAACTGCAAGGCGAGGTGAGAACAAGCGAAGAACGTTCTCAATTGCTATGGTTCTTGAAGGAAAGATGACCACATTCTTGCACAAGATTTTGAAAGGCATGTCAATGTGGTGTCATAGTCCAATGAAGAATGGCATTTCATGAAGTCATGCCAACAAAG